TTCATAACACTGAGTAAGGATACACTAGTGGGTAATATCATAAAACATTCACCACTTCAAACAATATTATCTATAAAGTTTTTAAACGAATGTATGTGATAGTTTATTTATAAATTATTTACATTTTTAATTAATCTCAATTTATTATTTTAAGGTGGTTCAGACATATTTACTATCAAGTCAGATGTATATTTGTTAACAAGTTATATATGTAAACCTTAGATATCTCTTTTATTTATGTAAGTCCAAAGTGACACGGATAATACTTTTAGCCAAGTTTTGATACATTTATAATTGACAAAAGAGATTCTAACTGAAGTTGGGATGAACTAATATAAACTAAATTTCTCACTGTTATTTTTTAATACTTAGTTTTGTTTTTTTCAGTTATCATTCAGAAATTTGTGAAAATTGAAAATTTTAAATGACCTATCAACATTTAATAAGCCTTTTTTTTTCAATGGACTTAGTGTTGGGTGTAGGAGGAGGACAAAATAAAGCCCATAATCACTCCACCACTTCAATATAATTCACGACAACGGCAGTGAAGGAGGAGGACACCCACTGTAATAATCTCACATTCCATACTTCTTACTCTCTCAATTCTCTTTCATTCTCCAAAAACATTCTTTACAAATTCTCTATTGAGATCACGGTGGATAACTTTTCAATTCCAACACATTAAAAAACCTTCGATAAAAAAGTTGTTGTGAGATTGTGAGTGTTGGAACCAAGTTGAGGAAGTAGGAAGTGTCTATCACAATATAAGGAAAGCTAATTAAGTTCGATTAATTTTCAAGTTTTTAAGTTGATAAATTAAACTTTGATAAGCATAGTTATTAGATTGAATTGTTTGATTTTAGTTGGATGAGTTGATCTGTGGAATTTTGGTTTTCTTGTTTATGATTTTCCTATTTTGTTTTTTTGAGTTATCTTAATAAAACCTTAATTATTAATTTCCTAATTGTTAAATTAACCTAATTTTTTTTTAAGATATATTGATTTATTTTGCTAAAATTATTAATTGGATGCATGTGTTTAAAAAAATTAATTTCTTATTTTTTTATTCATAAGATATATTGATTCACTTTGATAGTTAGGATTATTAATTGAATGTATGTGCTTAGAAAAAGTAGTTTCGCAGTTTTTAGGGAGCTAAACACCATCTTATTTATGTTTCTAAGTTGTCTTTAGATTTCTACCTCGTGAATCATTAAATTAACTTGAAATTTTGATATATGATTCTTAAGATATATTGATTCACTTTTACCATTAGGATTATTAATTGAATAACTATGCTTAGCGAAGTTACTTTCGCAGTTTTTAGGGAGCTCAACACCACCTTATTTTTGTATCTGAGTCATCTTGGAAAAAAAAATTAAAATTCATATTTCATTAATTGTTGGATCAAATTGAATTTTTTTCGATGGGTCCTAGATATATCATGATTTACTTTGACCGATCAAATCTTTAATTAGAGGTATGTAATTAGATCATTTTTTTCACATAATATTCCAATAGTTTAGGTTGATGACAACTTTGACCTTTGTTATTTGTTTGGTTTTGATTCATTTTTGTGTTGCGTTACTCATTCAATTGAAGGCAAAAACATAGTATATGTTGTTAAGTTGTTATGCTATATACTTAAGAAAGTGGTATGAGAACTGATGATGAATGCACTTTATTTTAGGGGTAATATGTATTGTAAACTTGGTGAAACAAAGACATAATATATGTATATGTATATATTGAGATCGATAAGGATGACGAAATATGAAAATTTATGTTGGTGGTAATTGATCATGAACATGATATTGTTTAGTATTAATGAATACAAATATGAGTGATTGTTTGGTATTAGGATTTTGTTGTGGAATATGTTTATGATGGAAAGTATGTATTTGGCATAATTCTAGGAAACTCTAAGGAAGATTTTACGGTGACATTCCTTTAATATATACATGGATGTAAGGATTCAAGTCCAGAGATATCTTGATACACTAATAACCATTCACACTCATGTATAATAGAATGAGTTATGTGATGAGAATAGTAAGAGATATTTTGTTGAAGGCAATATAATGGTCTCAAAACGAAACAGATTAACCTTGTGAATGGTAGGGTAAAACTTTTTCACTGTGTCTTTGCAGAACAGTAAAGATTACCAAAAGTGTATGTTTCGAGTAATTCTGACATTAATTACATATAATTAAGTCTAGTTTTACCTTGTTTGTAAAATGTATGTTTTGCTTGGTGGTTAGTTTATGTTAAATTGCATTATATTATGATACAACATGATATAACATTGTCAATTTTAAATTCCTTGAATTAAAAATGTAAAACATTTTATTTTATATACTAGTAGTATGGTTAGTTTGATGACCATATATTTAATGTCTAATTAATAGTTTTGAATGTTACGGAGGATTGTATATTTTTTTTCTATTTATATTTTGATAAAATATTATGTAGGTTTCATATTCTTATGTAATTATGTAATGTAATGATGTGATTGAATAGATTATATCTTATTAACTAAATGGGTAGTTACTCTAATAAAAAACCAACTAGGTAAATTAGTTAATTCTATTAATATTTATAACCAATTAGTAATTTCTTATAAATTCTCACTTAATTTGATGTTAATAAATGTTAAGAAAACGGAAGAAAAGAATCTTCTATGAGTAAAAATGAATATAGTGAAGATATATTCTATTTTAATGAAAAAATTTATTTATCATATTTAATCTTTCTCCTTTTTTTATATATAGGTAAACTTATATATTTATTCTTTTTTATATTTATTTGTTCTTTATTTATTGTTATTTAATATTTTATATTGATATTTGTATAATTATATATTTTTAACATTTGAGATTAAAATATCCTTTTACAATTAATTATCCATAATATTATAATTATTACTTTTCATAAAATATCATTTAATTAATATTTAAAATAAAAACATATGTATACATATAATATAAGTATACTGGCAAATATAAATGAAAATAGGCATGACGATAATTTAACTTGCTTGTCATATTATCCTGTCATTCCTAATTACCTTCGAGTCACAATGAACCAAAACAAAACAAGGCCGGAAGAAGTTAAATGTTATGGCTCTACTACATTAAATGTTTGTTAACTTTTAATATTTTTAATACACTAAAAGAGGTCAATATCTTTATTTTATATAACACAAATATTCATATTATTATGCACCATAGTACTTCAAATAAAACTATTTCTTAAAACCAATGTGAGAAATAAAATAAAATAAAAAGTGTCTTTTTACTAATATATTTTTAAAACATCCATTTAAAGATTTTAATTAAGGACTAACCAACCTTATATTATAAATAACCTTTTTTTTCTAAGGTGTATTAATCATGACATATACTAATAATTAAGACTCCAATTAAATTCTGACTTGCATCTTTATATATTGTCAATAAATTTATTATCATCATTAATTATAATTTAAAATTTTTAAATCGTTATAATAAATAAACATCGACGATACTATAATGTCTGTGGATTAAAGTTTTTTAGAAGTATTTATCAATAATATACAACTTATTCAATTTTACATTTTTTTTTCTAAAAGAATGTTACACCTTCCGTCTTGCATTTTAAGATTATTTTATAGATAATAATTATAATAAAAAATATAATATTTTAAAATAAATTTTATCAAAATAGTCATATTCTTTCAATAAACAGATTTCCTTTGAGATAGAAATGAACAAATATCAGTTTAATTTAAATTTCGTAATGACTAAAATAGTAATCACCATAAGTGGACAAGATTATATATAAAAAGAGTACAAAATTCAACCAATACTTATTTTTCTTTAATAAAATATTAAGTAAAGTTAATTATGTAATTATGTGTAATTTCATTTTCATCTCTGAATTTTTTTACTAAGTAATCTTTTTAAAACTTATGTACTCAATTTATTTTCCTCAATTATTTTACTCCGTCTTCAGTTCTTTTATTAACACTATTTTTTAAAATATGAATAAAAATTATTTAATTAATGAATTAATTTTAGGAGTTAGAATTTCAATTTCACTTGAATATGTAACTTTTATCGTTTATTTCAAATAAAATAGCATTTCTTTAAAATTACATATTTTACATTTCACGTTTAAATGTCTATGCAAATATTTGTTACTTCTAAATTTACATGTAACACTTCTAAAATCTACCTGATTTCTTTAAAGAAGTTGTAGCAGTTAAAATAAGCCGGTGAACATTTTCGATGTATTTTAAGAATGATAAGAAATTTATTCCAATCTTATATTTTTAAATTTTATGTTTGGTACTTTATATTTTACATTTTGTGCATTAAAATAATTCTTTATAATTAAATATTTGTTTTTATAAAAATGAGGTACATATATATATTTTCTAAGAGAATATTCATAATTTAAAAAATGTATATAAGAACATATTAATTTAAATATTAAAGCATTTAATTTTCATACAAAATTTTATTAATTTAAATTTAAAGAACATAAAAGCATAAAATAAGTTATTACATCTATTGATTCAGTGATAACACATGGCCAATTTTTAACCAGTAAATAATTAAACCATTTATTTACTTTAAGACTCGAAATTATTTATATTTCGCTAATAATTTTCAATAAAACAATAATCAACAAAAACACAAGAAGGAATTAAAACAGAAAGGATAATTTTTTTAGAAAAACAATTGAGAAAAAAAAAATGGGGATCCATACAAAGGTATCAGAAGTGACATGTGAATGGACTCATCACACATGATCTTCATCATGATGATCTTAGATATAAAAGTGGTTGCATGCATGTATGGATGGCCACATGTCATAGATAAAAGCAAAGCTACAAATGCAGATTCATCTTCCTCACTACTTTTTCCATTGATGGTAGTTCCTAGGAAGTCTATGTTAGCCATTTTTTTTTCTTTGGCCGGGCCTTATGTGTTAGTATTAACAAGAAAACAGTCTAATCATAGCTTTAAGAATTGGGCCAATTGATTTGGGTTTACAATGTCAAAGAGGTGGGCCCCCTCCTTCTTCAACAAGAGGGTTAGCTCGACATACCTCTCGTATTTCTGCTGCAGCGACTCCTCTTGCAGGTTTGGCGACTGGCCCATTCTGCGGCCCAACAGAGTTCCTTTGCTGAGAAATTCATGTGCCAAGTACCCAGCCAGGAGCATGTTTGTTGAGACTGGGTCAGGATCAGGGCCCTCAAGCTTGGGCAATTTGGTAATTGTGGCCGAGGATATGGGTTTTTGGGAACCTTGATGCCTCTCCTTCCGCTTACCGCCACCGTTGAGTGGCAGTGGTGCACGGCGAGAGGGAGGACGCATTGTTTTGGTACTCATTTTTTCTTCTACACTGCACACATCACCATCATCAGACAGAAAAAAAAAAATGAAAACTGAGAAAGGAATCTGAGTGTGGATGAACAGTGAAGTGAAATAAATGTGAATTGGAGAGAAGAAAAGCGATGATAACGAGGAAGAGGTAACGTTGGAATAATGAAGAAGTTATGGAGTGTGGTATTTATATTCACTGACGCAACTAAATGACCTTGATCACTTGCAGATATTACGTTAATGCCAAGCGGTGCAAGAGATGAGTCATTTTTTCTGCCTTTTATATTTGCACAACTTACCAGTTATTTTGTCGTTATTGTTTTTTTTTAAAAAAAACTAGTTCAAGTTTTGTCTTATTAATCATTGAGATAAATAGTTTTACCTTTATTTATTTATGTAATTTGAGATAATGATTTGAAACGTTTTTTACATTGAATTTGGATAGAATTCTATAACTTTAGGAAATTAAGATATATTAAAATTGAATTGTTTTTATCTTGAATTTCTTAAGTTTTAATTTCTCTGTTTAGATCATATATTTCAGTCATACCAAATGCAGAAGATATTCTTTCAATCTAACTAAAATATCAATTACATACATTTTGTAAAAAAAAAATGTATAACTGACTGAGGAAAAAACATAAAAATATTGGTGCAATTTTAAGCTAAAAAATTATGAAAATAGTATAATTTTGAAGTTGTGAGTTTGATACAATTTTATTTTAAAGAAATTATGTCAGTTTATTATGATTTTAATACTTTTTTTTAATTTCAATTGAAATTGTATCATTTTAAAACTATTTTAATGTACTGTGGGATAAACTAAAATCATATAAATTTGATACGATATTATAATATAAACCATCAAACTATCATAACTTCAAAATTATATTATTATAATAATTTTAAAGTCAAAATTATACTATTTTAATGTTTTTGTCCATAGACATTTATAAAATAAATGGATCCACCTATATTAATTCAAATAATTTTTATAAATGTAAAATAATAAATGTGACACCCGGACATTGACGAGAGCGGAGAGTGATCGCCGCTACAAAAGGCACGAAGTGTAAGGGGCACAAACAAGGAACGACTCCTGACAGGCTTCCAGTGGAAGGGACACATGGATGAATCGAACATATACCGGAATGAGAGGGATCTAGAGATTGTATAGGTATGAGACTATACAGTTAAAGGATAGCTTAAAGGGATTGATTTGACTACTCATATCACTAAAATGCATTTGTTTTTCGGTAGCCTAGAGTAATTTAGGGATGAGTAAAGTGTGTAAGTAACGACAAACCACGTTGGAAAGCCTCATGGTGATGTACGAGGGCAGTCAATATTTCCTGTAAGTCGCCAGAGCGCCTAAATAAATGATATCAACATTACTAATTAGACAAATAATTTATATTAATTTAATTATATTTTTTACTTATATGAGTTTAAAAATACTTTGATAAGTTGTGATAAAAAGTTTCAAATTAATACTATTCAAAAAGTTATTTTCTCATAATTATTCTAGAATGCTTTTTTAATATTGGCTGGGAAAATTACAATTTAACTTATTAAAAAAATAAGATGAATTATATTATCATGAATATTGATTAAAATAACGTAGTTCATATCAATTAAAAGTAATATATTATTTTAGGTTAACTGAAAATTCCTTTTTAATGTTAATAAAAAAAATATAACTTTAGGTAGTCATAGTTATTTTGATACATTCATATAATTTTAATCTCAAAAATATTAAAAAAACATACTTTTGTTATAAATATTTCAATCTTTTATAAAATTGAATTACATTCTAAATAAAAACGGAAATAAACATTAGATGAAAATATAGATAAAAAAATATGTTTTTAAATTATCAAACTTTTAGAAAATTTTATCAAAATTTATTGTTCATCTTCAAAATGACGTCAATTATTATTTTTATCATTTTTACTCTCTTTTTTTCACTAAATCAAAGAATTTACATACATTTATTATGGTATAAAAACAAAATATAGAAAATACATGACTATTTTGTTAAGATAAAAATGCTTTAGAGAAATTAAAGCCAAAGCTTCTCGATTTTATTAAAATTAAAAAAATAATTTAATTATCTTATTCATGCATTTAATTTTTCTTATATGACTTTCACTTTTTTTAATATTTATTATTACTTTGAATTATATTATTGTTTTTTTCCATCAAATCATTTATTATATCCATCAACTTAACCCTGTCTATCTCTTTCTCTCTTACTTCATTCAACCCATTCATCCCAAAAGTCAAATGTACATTTAACACTTTTCTTTTTATGTAACTACCAGTTTAGATTATTTAATGAAAATAATTATATGCTCTTATTCATATTAAATTAAATTAAAAACTTCGACTAAAAGCACACGCAAGTGGAGATTTTTTTTTATCATATAATCTTGTTATTTTGAAAAATAAATAATCTTTAAAACTAAAAAAAAAAAACTAATTTTATACAGAAAAAACATAACAAATTGTAAACCTTTGCCCCAGACTATTTCCTTCTCTTTTCTTAATATCTTCCAAAAGTCTTCCTTTCATTTATCTTTAGTTTTCTTCTTCTATATTTTATATCTTTTGATCTCTTCTCAAAGTAAACGAAAGACCGGATGATATTTTATTCAAATTCTTTTTTAACTAAAATAAGTTTTTATTTATTCTAAATATTTTTTATTTTTATTATGATTTTATCATCAACGGTGAAGTAATTGGAAAAATGATTATTTCAACTTATTTGATTAAATATTAAATTTTGTCATATTTGAATATTTTGTTATAGATTTCTCTTATTTGATTTTGATACATATATTATATTATTAGATATTTTATATATATACTTTTTATATTACAAATACAACATTTTATGTAAATATTTAATATAAGAAGATACTAATTTAAAATATATTTTTTTACTATATAAAAAATAATATTTATAGTCTAAATTTCTTTGGATTTTTTTTCGTCGCCTCTGCTCACTACAATCACTGTCAACCATTATTATCATCATTACAACATCAATTTTGATTAGCGATCACACGTCTTAGTTAGAGGATAGGAATATCGTCAAGATTGCAGTCATATTCTAGTCGCACTTTAACAATCCAATCATAATCAAGTGTTATCGTTTTTTTCAATCACAAGTGGCGACGCGTGTGTTACCGTCTCTAACACCGACCACCTTTGTTGAACTCATTGTAACCTCTTCTTTCTGGATCTGACCTTGTTGTGTTGATTCAGTCCCTTTTGTTTTTTAGGTTTTTTCTCTCTCTCTTGCTTGTCGATGGCCTTTTTCCATGATGTCTCTTCTAACCTATCTTTTGTCTTCAACACTTCTGACTCGTCCATATATATTAACTATGTCCATGTGCATTTATCTATTAATAAGTTAGATGACACTAATTATGCTGAGTTGGGAATCAAATGTTAAACTTTGGTTTCATAGTAAGGGATATGTTGATCATATTATTCAAAATGTGATAACTATTGATTCCGCTACGGTTACTCGTTTGTTGAAAATTGATGCTCAATTATACATTGTTCTCAAGGTACCCTCACTCATCTTTAAAACAAATTTTTTCGTTCCTACAAAACATGTTTTGAAATTTGGGAATAGGCCAAATTACTATACATAAATGATACTTAACATATTTATGATGTATGCCATGATCTTTTCAATGTTATTGCTCCTTGGCATCAGGAATCTATGATTGATTATATGGGTAAAATTCATGTTTTTTTTCATGAATTATTGTCTCATGTCTCTACTCTTTCCCAATAAATAGAGCAACGTTCAAAGTTCTTATTTGTTGATAAATATTCTCATATTCATAATTAGATTTTGGGTTCACTTGTTGTACCTATTTTGACTTTTATTTGTTCCACTCTTTTGCATGTATCTAGTAAACCGATTAATGATACACATATTTATGTTGATGATTCCTCTGTGTTAGCATCTCAACGTGATGATCATCACTCTCGCAAGCCGGAAAAAAGATGCACAAGTGTGACCATTATGGCAAACTATATAGGCCACAAGATTTACAAGTGTTATGTAATACACGATAATCCTCCTAGATTTGTGATTGTTGTTCAGACTGCTTATGCCTCACAATCACTTACTAGAGATTCTCCTTCATTCAGTAAATTTCACAAATGGTATAAGGATCAACCTTGTAATTCCATTGCATATGTACATATTTTGTTGGTCTGACTCCATCTTCTTTTCTTGGTCCTTGGGTTCTTGACTCAAGAGTCACAAATCACATTATTAGTAACAAATCTTTGTTTTCCTCTTTATCCTCTTTGGATCCTTTACCTTCTTTACAATGACTAATGGATCTAGAATTTTAGCTCATGGTATTGAAGTTGTTAACATTTTTCCTTTTTTACCCATTGATAATGTTCTTTATGTCTTTGATCTCCTTTTAACTTATTATTCATTAGTCCTTTAGCTCGTTTTCTTGATTTAACAAAGATTTTATTTATTTACACGATCGGAGTTCGAGACATTTATATGTGAAAAATAGACTCTTTTTCATATTTGTTCTAATTGTGTATTTCATGAAAGGACTAAATACATTGAGATTGATTCTTTTCATTAAGGAAAAGATTGTATATGAAAATATCAAGAATAAGTTCATTAATTAAAGTGATCAATTAATACATATTTTCACAAAGTCTTTATGGAATTCGAGAATCGTTATATATGTAACAAACTTGTATATAAGATTTGTATACATTATCTTGAGGAGGAGTGGTAGATTTATTTGATAATTAGATATTTTAGATAGATATTTTACTTTTATTTTTTACTTTTAATTAATTTGTTATTATTTTTTATTTGTATTTTTAATTAACCTATATTTTTTTATTATAAATACAAAATGTGTATATTATATTATCGTATTGTACCGTGTGTGTTTTGTGTAGAAATTGTAATTGATGTTGAGAATTATTTGAATACTTTAATGATATTGAGTTTTATTCGGATGAATATAACAATAAGTGAAAAGAAATGTTGTAGTTATATAAAAAAATTATTTGAATTGTTTAGACATTATATAACTAAAAGGTTATAAGTATTTTAAACAAATTAATTTCATTATGCTTCGTAAGATTGATTATCTGATATTTTTTTATTCAAATGAATATCTAATATTTTTTTAAAATAAATATGAACATAACATGTTTTTCGTGTAAGGAAAAATTAGGTCCAACTTTTTCATGACAAATTGGTCAATAAACAAGTTGTGAATAAGACAGTAACGAAGTCTACGCTCAGTCTTTTTGCAGTTATTAACGTGTAAATAATCTTTATTTGGCGTTTTCTTTAACACTTTATATGGTGATTCATAAAGTTCAAGTACTTCTAACTGGATAAATATGAATAGGATTATTAAAATATGTAATTATATTAAGCACATTCTAAGGATGTTGAATTTAAAATATTGTTCTTTTTAAAATCTAAAATCCAGTCTCATTTTAAAAATGTCTGAACATTAAATATTTTAAAATATTATTCTTTCTGAAATCTGAAATTCGGTCATGATTTTATTTAAAAAAATACCTGAACATTAAATATTAAGTATCTGCTGCATATAAAATAATAATCCTTTATTCAATAAATAATAATTTTTATACAAAATACGTATTTTTATTTCGAAGGAGCACCTTTTATATAAAACAGAAGCAAACTTATACGTAGAAGACCTTAATTTCATGAGCATTATTCATGGAAGGCTCTTCTATGCATATCATACTTAAAACGTGAAGGGAATCTAGGAGTCACGTTCATGTATCTATCTATTTGTCGATTTCGTCAGTAATTTCTCACGTAAATTAAACATTTGAAAATATTAAACAATTTACAATAAGAATGATTTAATTTTTTAATAACTTTTATATTCTTTTTATTCACATGATAATGACGTGTTTAAGTTAAAAAATTTTAAAAATAATTTTTTAATAGAGAATTTAAAATATTTTATGATATTATGTGTTATTTGAGTATACAAGAAAAATAGATTTTAAAAATTTAAAAGAGAACTCCGATTATCTAAAATTCAAGTATTTTAAATTTTATTTAATAAATAAAAAATTAAATTATTATTACTCTTAAATTTATATATTCTTACTCTTAAAATTATGTTTTTCTTAATATATTTTAAGTCGATTTTAAGTAAAGCATTATCAAGTGATATTAATAAAAGTTTTTTTTTAAACTGAAGTTAATCAAAATTATTTTCCGTTGATATCGCTGAATTTACTTTATCATTTGTATAAGCTAGTATTAATTACTTATTTTCATCTTCATCCATCAAGCTGCCCTCAACACCAAGCTGCAATCAATCTCATTCTTCGTCTTCTCAACCACATCCAACCGATCACAATAACTTTTCTTTCTCGTCAATGCACAGTACATGCTTTTTCCTTTGTGATATTTAACAAAATCATAAGGGCACACATGTAATTTGCGAAGAAATCAGCGCAAATCTCCTCATTTCAGCAAGATGAAAAAAAGAGCTTCATCTCACAAATCACTGCATTTCGTCGCTCGCAAATCCACGCAAACGAACACCTTCTGCCGCACAAATCATTGCTCTCTTTTCTCGTTGCACAGTGTTTCACTTTTAAGTGAACACAATCTTAGAGTTATTTTATTGTAGGGTTATTAATATATGCTTATATTTTTTTAGCAAATATTAAGAGGACTACTTTTTTGTTAATGTTGATTAAAATTTATTATTTTACATGGTAACAGGGGTTTTTGTTCAATAATTGTTGAGATTAGTTTTTGGTGGATGATACCAATATTATTTATTTTGGTCAACTTTAACTAAGATTACACTTTACCAGTATCAGGTGTGAGAATTTTTCATCAAACAATTCAAATTTCCACAAAAGTATATAATTGTTATTAATATCAATATCAATGGAGAATAATCTTATCAATATCACTCCAAAAATCTTTACAAACTTTTACTGAAAAAATAACATCAATTAATGCGACAAAAAGATGTTTTCAATTAATATTTTAAAAACTAAATACTGTTTGATATTAAAATAAATTTTTTATTTGATAACAATTAAAATACTTTGTAAATAAATAAATAAAATAAATTTATATCACTTTATTCAAATACAATATTTAAAAAACAGTATGTTAAATTCAATATATTTAAATATGAGAATGAAAATAATTGAAACCTCTTCCCTCTTCGTCTCGAAACATTTTTGTTCATTCGACTTGTGGACCTCATCATTTTTCCTTTTGCCAACTCGTTACCCTACATCAAATAATTAGGGTATGAGGTTCGTGTTCAGGCAAAGATGCATGTTGTCGATACGACACTGTTGTTGTCGATACGACACTGTTGTTGTCGATACGACACTGTTGTTGTCGTTGTGCTTCTGAATTATAGAAGACACTAGTGCATAGGATGAAGAGAAAGGAGAGAAAAAAAACTCAATGTAAAAGAAATAAATTAAGTTTTTTATATATTGGTTAGAAATCTAAATATAAATTCTAATAAAAGTAGAAAGAATCTTAGCTATTTCCTTTTTTATCAATTCTCATTTTCAAATGTTTTTTTTTATTTAACTGTTATTTTCAAAATTTAAGACAATATTATATATTTTTATTATTTATGCACTTATTCTTCTCTTCATATTTAAGTAATTTATTATAGTGGAAAAATAAAAGTACGAAATAGTAAAATCAAGGAAATGTAATAACCTTAAACAGTGATAGTATATAATTCATAAAAACAGAGATTAAAATTTGATTATAAAGTCCTCCATAGCATGCGTTGACACTGTTACATTCATTAAGTACAAGTAACAATGCGGGTGTAATAAATTATTCATTGAAATAATACAACTTAACTAAAAACATGCGTGGGGATAATACAATTTGACTAAAAGCATGCAATGAAATAATATTAAAATTTAACTATTTATGGTTTGTTTAGCTTTGGCAAGTGATTCTGCAATCTTGGTGGCAATACAGTATGCCGTAGACTGAATGGTTACCATGGGATTGACACCAACTGCAGTTGGCAAAACACTCCCATCACACACATACAAGCCTTTTGCTTCCCAGCTCTCACCATTTTCATCAACTGCACCTTCTTCTTCACTGGCACCCATTCTACAACTTGTCATCTGATGTGCAGATGTAAACACTGTCCAGAGTTCATTCCTGGACCTTGGACCCCCAACTATTGTCACAGTGTCAAGAAACTCCTCTAAATCTTCCTCCTTCATCCCCTTACATTTCAGTCTTTGCCCATCACTCCTGAATGTGCCAACTTCCACAGCACCTGCCGCAACCAAAATCCTCAAGGCCTTCCTTAGTCCAATTCTAAGGTTTTCTTTGTCCTCTTGGTCAAGTCTGTAAGTTATTCTCCCTTCAGCTTTCACTTCTCCTGAACCATGGTCTCTAATCAAGGCAAAAATGTTAGCAGTTCTTGCATACTTTTCCATCCTGTCTTTCATGTCACGCCCTGAAAGCCAGGGAGCCAATGCTGAAAATGATCCTGGTCCTACCGCAGGTGTTTCTATGATGAATCTTGGGGTGGAATCTTCTGCAAATACCTTGTGGATCGAAGTTATGATCCCTCCCTCGTAGTTATTGCCACTGAAGTTTGTCATGTCTTCTGGGAAGTATCCCCATGCAAATAGAACTGGGTGGAGATGGAGATTCCTTCCAATGTGTGGATTTTTCAGTCCACTGGAAATCATTAGAGGAGGAGTGGACAGACTGCCACATGCTGAAATAGTTACCTTGGATTCGATTAGGAGTTTCTTTGTTACCTTACTCCTCCACGTTGCTGCTGCAATGACTCCTGAACATTTCTTTTTCTTCATTCCACCATTTCCATCTTCAAGTATGAATCTCTCAGCTTTACATCCTTAGATGATCACTTCATCATTTCCTACATCTTCAACCAACCAAGTTGAGTCAGTGTCCTTCTTATCTCCTGTCCTACAACCATAACAGCATGAACCACAATAATGATCTGCTGAGGAATTTGTAGCCACTGACTCTACTTTCAAGCCCATTTTTTCACATCCTTGTACGAGTATTTGATTCTGAAACCCTTGTTTGTTGCACTTCTCTGTCACACCAATCCTTCTGCATACCGTGTCCATGGCAGATTGATAATCAGAGCTTGCAAAAATGGGAATTTTATTTTTTCTCGACCATTCCCTCAGAACAGAATCGGGTGTTCTGATGCATGCAGACCAGTTTACTGCAGAGCCTCCACCCACAGTTGAGCCAGCTAGGACCATCATCTTCCCATCAAGACTTGGCAGAATGCCACCTGATTCGTATAGCTCGTTCATGGATGGTCCTTCCAGGGAAGAATAATCATGGGAAACAAAGTACTCTCCTTTCTCTAGGACGATTACTTTCTGACCAGAGTTTGCAAGAACTGCAGCTGCAACTCCACCACCACAACCAGACCCGACAATGACAACATCACATTTGACCTTGTATAGATTCTGCAGTTTATCTTCAGTAACTTCAAGGCCTTTTTCAGCGAGGGATTGCATCAAAGTATTATCAGTTTCATATATAGTCTCTATTAATCCCCTTTGCAGAGGCCTCTCCTTCTGTATCAACTTTTCCTTGGTGTCCACCTGGTATCCAATTGCTTCCCATGCGGGATTATGTCCATTTTCATCAGCCTGCATTGTTTGGGGAAACATATGAAAAGGCCAAAAATATATAAACATTAAACAAGCAAATAATTTGGGAGGGAGATACTGAGAAATTCAATATACATGTTTCACATCATGACATGCTAAACAAGAATTTAAAATCAGATTCACCATTGGATTAATGAAAATATTAATTAGCACTACACCAATCTAGTTGTTGTCCAAGTGATCCTCCGTCCTTTTTAAAACAACAGCCTTTAAAAATCGAGACACACTTATTAAGAAATATTTAGTTAGGAAATTTATCTAAAATTATTTTCAACCTTTTTTAAACTGTTTTTTTATTGTTTCTGTTCGATATAAATGATTCTGTATTGATTATTCTCAATTATATACAAAGGTATTGTTGGAAAAAAATAGTAAAGAAAAAAAACTATTTTACAATACAAATGAAAAGCTAAAAAGACTAGTATTCTGAAATTCTGGAATGGGACAACTATTCATCAATAATCATATCATCTAATATACCATCTGTTCTTTTTAATTGGCGATTTCTTTTATCTGCAATTGTTTTAAAATTTCAAGATAATATAACCCTTTTTAAAATATACCCTTAATTTAATTAATATGATGGGAGAAAAAATAGTTATCATAATCTAGAGAGATAAAAAAAAATAACAAATGTATATTGAAGTAAAAAATTGAAAAGAACAAAATAGATAATTCACTTAAAATGTTTTGAAAATAAAGAATAAAATATCCTTGAATATTTACCAAGAAACGTGTTGGTCAATCAAATATCCATATTTTAGTGGTAACTTTTGCAAATAACTCATCTATTGAAGTCATTTGTCAAACTTAACATATCATTATCTCATATATTAAAGTCATGAGTCAAACTTTTGAAAACGTCTGTCTGATTGTGCAGTGTATATAGAGATGGTTTTTCAAGTAACTACGAACTCCTTTTTAGCTGTGGCATTATATCCCAATTTATGATCATTAAATACGAATGACAACTTGATGAAAGAAATAGCACATGTACATACAGCGATGCTTAACAATAATGATGCAAAATCGTGATCTGCAATTCAAATTTCCAACCAACACTGAATTCAATCTCATCAGAACAAGCGAGAAAACTTACCCTTGAGAAGAAAGTGTAGAAGAAAGCAAGTTTGATGAGCAAAAAGACTATCCGAAGGGGCACCCAGCGCTTCTCCCTGGACCAGTTCCTGAGAATCTCTTCTCTCTTATCCAAGGAGATCTCAGAGAAGTTGTGGATGAAAGGCCACTTCCAGTTCAAGCAAAGTCTTCCACAGAGAAACAGTGTCCCCAATCTGAAGGACAGTATCCAGAGAACCCAACTCACGAGGGACAAGGCTTCTGGCACAACCCTCTTGCGCAAAAGCTCTGCAGCCTGATTTTCATCGAAGTGAATGAATTGAAGCACCGTGTATCGGTTGAGATTGTTAAGCAGAAAGAACTGATAAAACTGAATTATGCATCGATTACATTAGAGAAGTAAGTGTTTGAAAAATTACCTCATGTGGGAAAGGGACATGAGAAGTTTCCTCCAATGGCAAAGGAAAGAGGGTGTGACATATAGAAGCCATGACATGCATCTGAGAAGAGGATAAGCCATGGCTGTAATCTTTCTCTCTTCTACCTCCTCTCAGCAATGGGTGACAGTTGACACTCCCTTCCATTCTCTCTCTTTTCTTTCTGTTTTTTTTAAGTATTTTGTAATATTTATGTTGCACAAGTTGTTACAAAATATGTTTTTTATTTTTTATTTTATAGATAGACCAGAGGAGTAGAAGAAGGGGAAAGAAAGGAAGTTGGGCTTTGGCCCAATTTCCATTTGGTGATCGTGTTTGTTGATACGAAGGTGGAAGCAGGAAGAATTTGAATTTGAATTTTCCTGTTGAGTTTTTAGTCTTATCCTTTAAAATATATTATGTGATATTAATGTTTTCTGTTTTAAAATATATTAATTTCTTTGTATATATTAATATTTATATATTTGAAAAGTTTAACAGGGGATAATATAAAAAAAATTAACTGAAAATCTGAATTGGACTTACAGGAGAAGAAGACAGAAAACTAGAGTGGAAATAAATGTTGTTTGTTGTGATTTGTTCACAGAATCTTTGGGAGCATTGTAGTACGTGTTTCGGTTTTGGTGTTTGATGGGTGATGGATTGCATGGAGGCCAAATATGGGAGAATGCGTGAATGAATGAAATTCAATTTAAGGCGAGATGGTATCAAGCTACATCATCCGTAGAAGTTATTTATAACATTCAGTATCAATAAAAATAATATTATTTTTTAATGTAAAAATAATAATATTATATTATAATAAGAAATGATAAAAACTAACTTCTTCGATATATATATATATATTTATATTTAGTAGACAAAAATATCCTTATATATCATGATTCTAAGTTTTAAAGTCAAGGGTATTTGAATAATTTTCATTCTCAAATCTTTGCTCACCTCCCTCGTCACCTCCGTTATTCCTCTCAACCCTTTCTCTTTCATCTCTCTCACTTCAACATTTTCTCTCTCATCCTATGTAGCCCCAACTGAAAAAAAATGAGAAACACGGGTTGTTAAACAATTTCTTACAAAAAATGATTTTATAATGAGTTTTCATTTTAAAATTTTTGTCTTATCTAATTTTATCTAATTTTCACAAGCATAAACATCAAAGGAATTGGTAATTGGCTCGAAAAAAATCAGAAACACTCTTTGTTAAACAATTTCTTACAAAAAATGATTTTATAATGACTTTTCATTTTTATAATTTTTATCTTATCTAATTTAATCTAATTTTCACAAGCATAATGACATATGAAGGAATTGGTAATTGACCTGAAGGGTTTTTTTTAGAGATGATGATTCAACATCTACAGATGATGAAATTAGAGATGTTAGTGAAGATGATGAAATTGAAGAGATTTTGAATGAACCTTTGTCTGAAGGTGAATATGCAGAAACACTTGTCTAACCCTAATTCACATTCCTCACTTATCCAATTTGTTTCTCTCTCATCTCCATACTCTCCCTCACCCACACACAACAACTCGCGACACCGCAATTTGTTGTTCTTCCTGTTCGTTCATTTGTTTTCCACTTTAATAACAAAATAATTGATGATGTTGATGTTGAATTTTTATTAGAGGACGTTGTTATATATTTTCCCTTCTTATTGTTATTAAATTTCATTTTTAAATTAAGTCAAGGTAGGGATGACAGAGAAGAAGGTTGGAGTGAGAGAGATGAAAGAAAAATGGTTGAGAGAAATGAGAGAGGTGAGTAAGGGTTTGGGAGTTTCTTATTTTAGTTTTGAGAATGAAAATTATTAAAATACCCTTAATCTTAAAACTTAGAACCCAATATATAAGGGTATTTTTGTCTACTAAAACCCGGTACACATTGCTAAAATGTAAGAACTGAAAAACTGGCGTACGCGCATTAGCAAACCCCTATATATATATATATATATATAATATATTTTATTTATAAAAAAAGGTTAGCTAACTTAGGTAACCTCTTAAAGTGTACCAAATTTTAGTTGACAAAAAAAATTCTATTCATAAAAAAAATATTTTAAACATAAGGATATTTTAATAATTTTTATTTTTAATTTAATATAAAAAGTAAAAAAATCAGAAATTATTCAAATATCTTTAACCTTAACCCTTATAATCCATAATATATGAGAGTATTTTTGTCAACTAAAATTTGCTACAATTTAAGAGGTTGCATAAATTAGCAAACCCCATTAAAAGAATTTATAAATTTGTAATAAACTAATTTATTGTAAATAAATATACAAATTTATAAAATTTTAAAAAAAATTATTACTAAAAATTTGTTGTTTAAAAGCAAAATTCCAACCGCAAACAACATAAAAAAAAAACATGATGAAAATTTAGTTTGCAAAATAGATTGCATTTGAACTATCTATTTCGAGAAAAAAATAACTTGGTAATTTATTCACATCAATAAAATTAAAAAAATGATTTATAATAGAAAAGAAGTCGATGGTGGTGAACTATGGATAGATGTTGTGGGTTTAGGAGAAGAAGGTCGAATTGAAGTTGTAGATGGTTGGTGAAGAGAAATGAAGAGTTAGGTTAAAGTCACTGTTGAAGAAAAAGAAGACATAATTAGGGTTACATGTGGTGTGTTTGAGTCACTTCATAAGCCAAATGAAAATGAGAGTTTGTCGGTGTTTTGTAGGGGAGTTGGGTGTTACATATTATTTTTTGTGAGTCCTACGTATTTTATGTTATGTCAACCTTTTCTATTGTTAAATATTTAATGTTACATATTTTTCTCATTTTCAATTCATCGTTAACTTAAAATTAATATAATGTATTTAATTATTTTTCTATTTATGATAAAATAATTAAGCATATATTAAATGTTTAATATTTTTTTTCTGTATTTTGGTTTTGCAAAATTTAATGTAAATATAAATATTAATACATGTAAATCATTCATATTAACAATCCTAGCACATACAAATATTTATACTAGATTCGAATATTCGAATACATATATTGATATTAGACTCTTAGGGGTTATGTACTTGCGGTGACCTCTATTGCTCTATAGAGTCATTGCAATTAGGCTTTACTCTTTTACACATATGGTTAGTCCGTTAACATCTTTGGTCAAGGTAAAAACCCTACATTAGAATCTTCTGCTCCTCTCACCACATGTCTCACCATTCTTTACTTGAGACTGAATGATTATTAGAACGATAAGATAACTCCCAATATAGAATCCATATATCAATGCATACACTACTGAAATCATCACAAGAAACTTCTCCTTGAAATTTCTTCCACAACATTTATCACATATATTCACAATAATGTTATTACTCCATAAAATGTCATAATACTCTTAAACATACAAAAAAACCATGACAAATATATCTCAAATTGGTTAAAACAGAAGAAAATTTCAACATACAAAAAACATTCGAAACACTAAAAAAATAAAGGATAAGAACGTATTAGCTCAAAACCTTATCACAATGGGTGGTCAATTAAAAACAGCGCGGTGTCGCCCCAAACCTTTCCCTAAAGGTGACATTCAACGACACTTTTGGTGCTCAATGACATTGTTTTTGCAAAAGTGCATACTTAACGATATTTTCTGACACTCAGTACCCTAAAACTAAAAGGCTCCCAACCTATATTGAGAAATGGTACTCAACAGTGCCCTATGCATTCACATTTTTTCTACTCTCAATGATACTAGACTAGTGCTCAATAATACTATGAATTGTTGGATTTAGAAAAAAATGTACAACCCAACAAAAATTATATGAATAAAGACATATTAATTTTTGATAATAGTTTTCTAACTTTAAAACTTAGTTATCACAACCATTAAGTTATGAGAAAATATGTATATCAAAATAGGATTATAATAATATTCTTTTTATTAATTATATAAGAAAACAAGTGATACATATCCACTTTTTTTGACAAAAAAATTATTAAATTATAATATAATTATTATTACAATAATTATATAATAATTTTTATTTATAGTATTTTTATAATTTTATTATTAAATAAAATTTATTAACAGTAGATAATTATTTAATATAAAAATATTTAAAAAGTGATAGAAGGTAAAATTAGAAAAAAAATATAAACACAACAAAGAAAAATCTGTATGTATAATGTAATATATATTTATTATCATATTAATGTATCTAGAGTTGTAACTCTTTTATATGCTATCTTAATATATAAGTTAAAATTTAATATTATATTAATTCCATTTATATTTTTAAAATAAAATTTATTTATTTTTATAAATATATAAAGTAGAATGTCAATGTTGCAGTTAGACATGTCAATTTTTGGTTTCCCTTATATGGTTTGACCTTGACCCACATGGAGCTAGAAAAACTCTCAAGGATAAAAAAATACTCCCATTGAAAAAGCTTATATAGAGCTAAAATATCCGCAAAAGCCCTGTGGGCCAAAACTAGTCCAATGACATCGTTTTTAGAAAAAATATTCATTTTGAATACAAGAAAAAATGCAATTAACCCTTAATCTATTGTAGATCTAAGTATTTTTAATTTGTCAAAGAGTTATATACAAACATTTTAATCAGACAAACATAGAATTTGTAAGAGATTTTAATAAACTTGATTGTTTGCTTATATAGAAAAATCATATAAAAACATAGAAAAATTAAACAACATCATGTAGATAGTCATTTAATTTTATTATGCGAAAAATTTGTCTACTTTGAATATAACGCTTAAATATCTCAATTTGAAAGTTTAATAAGGAATTTACTGAATTAAAATTATGATTTTGAAACTTTATGATAGTTTACTAATGTTCTATTCATTATCTCGAAATTTAAAATTAATAAATATTATAATCATATTATTGAACTATATATTATATATTTTATGTAAGCACATAATAATAAGTATGATATAAAAATATTTATTTAAATATAATAAAATTACGGTATATTAGGTATCTAATATAAAATATATAATTTTAAATGTGTACATAAATAATTTTGTTTCTAAAAATTAATTATAGTTTTTAAGTAAAAACAAATCTACTTCTGTAACCTTAACTAACTTAAGAGGAAACTTTGGAAACTAAGATTATATTTTGATGGCACTTGAGGAACCTTTTTAAAGAAAACGTTTTTAAGAGTAGACTACCCATTACCATAAGCTCAAA